TCATGGGTTTTCCAAAATCAGCTAGGAGAAATGATGCTATGTGGGTTATAGTGGATCGGTTAACAAAGTCAGCTCATTTTCTACCTATAAGAATGAATTTTAGTATGGATCAATATGCGCGGTTATACATCAAAGAGGTCATCCGTTTGCATGGTATCCCAATCTCAATTGTATCGGATAGAGATCCAATATTTACCTCAAAATTTTGGAAAAGTTTGCAAGAAGCTATGGGAATCAAGTTAAATTTCAGCACAGCTTTTCATGCACAAACTGATGGACAATCGGAGAGGACTATACAGACTTTGGAGGATATGTTGCATGCATGCGTCCTTGATTTAGGGGGCAGTTGGGAAAATTATGTACCACTGGTAGAGTTTGCCTATAATAATAGCTATCAAGCTACGATAAAGATGGCACCTTACGAAGCTCTTTATGGTAGAAGATGTAGAGCTCCCCTGTATTGGGATGAAGTAGGTGAACGAAGAGTTTTAGGACCCGAAATAATTGAAGAGACTAGTCGAGCGGTTGATAAAATAAGAGCTAGAACCAAGGCAGCCCAGGATCGACAAAAAAAGTTATGCCGATAAAAGGAGAAAAGATTTGGCATTTAATGTTGGTGATAAAGTTTTCTTAAAAGTGGCACCGATAAAGGGAGTTCTTCGTTTTGGGAAGAAAGGAAAACTTCGACCAAGATTCGTAGGTCCTTTTGAAATTTTACAAAAAGTTGGAAATGCAGCCTATCGAATCGCTCTACCACCAGATTTGTCGGCAATTCATGATGTGTTCCACGTGTCAATGTTTCGGCAATATGTGTCAGATCCAAGTCATGTGGTTAGTTATCAACCATTGGATATCAAACAAAATATGACATATGAGGAAAAATCAGTAGCAATATTGGATCGCAGAATCCAACAATTAAGGACAAAGAAAATTCCGTTAGTAAGAATTCAATGGGGGAACCATAAGGTCGAAGAATCAACTTGGGAAAGAGAAGAGGAAATCAAGACCAAGTATCCAGAATTTTTCAACTAAGTTCAAGGTAATTTCGAGGACGAAATTTTTTTTAAGGGAGGAGGGATGTAATACTCCGAAATTTTATGCTCGTTTAAATTTCTTTTAGGATAGCGACTTAACCTTCAATATTCTTTTGGCCATAAGAAAAAGGGGGCACCACCTTTGTAGTGGTTAATGCTAGAGGTAGTTAATGAATGCAGGCATGAAGTGCTAAATGTTGTATATGCATGAAGTGATCTTTAGTTAGTCGAAATATAAGTCAAATTTGGATTTGAATGAAATAGATTATTTTGTTAGGATTTCAATTGACCAAATGATTAAATTATTTTGTTGGGATTTATTTTACAATCTACAATATTTGAATATGTAAGTTGGATACAAATTTAAATTTGGGATATGCTTTGCTAATAATGAAAGTTAGAGGGATTATATATATATATATATATATCCATATCCATTGCATAGAAAAAGATTTCCTTCACTTTGCAAAATACTTATACACACAAATAGAGAGAAAAACCGACAAAAAGGAAGGAAAGGAAAAGGAAGTAAAGCCTAGCACTTTCAATTCATATTTCAATCGAAATTTCTCCAAGTTTTATGGTAAGATACTTTCCATGCTTAAGGGGTATGATTTCATGGTAATATTTATACTTAAGTTATGCATGAAAGGCCATAATATGCATATGGTGGACAAGTCCACAAAGTTAGATATCTATTTATGCTTTAGGACAAGTCCGAAGGACACCGGCAAGCCGGAAGGTGCAAGTATGTGTTTGATTGCATTCTTTTGTGTAGTATTAACATGATAAAAATCCAAGCATGGTATCTTACTGAGTATTCCTTATACTCATAGTATTCTATTCTAAATTTTCAGATCCATGATCGTTGGGTTGACAGCGCATAAGTGATGATGGGTTAGGACAAAGATGTTTTGCATCGAAAGTTTCCTTTTATATGTTTTGTTCGATGACTGCTTTCTATCTGTTTTTCTTATGGTATTATATAAAAACATGTACATGACATGATGTAATATGATATTAAAAGAAAATTTTGTAATCACATCTTTCATGTTATGTTAAGAGACATTTTACAGTTTTTTTTCTTGCAAGTGTTGAAATAGGCAGAAACGGAACAGTTTTGGGGTCAACTTCAAAATGATATTTCCAACTCTATAAGTATCCATTTGAGACTCTAGAAATATTTCTGTGTTCCTCTCTGAGTTTTCTAAATATGGCCGTAAGATTTACTCAATTTGGATATTTGTGGCCTGAGATATAAATTTTTAAACGTCAAGGGGTCAATCTGGATTTCCTGTGTAACACTTCACTGTTTTCAGTAAAACGTCCATATCATATGATCTTGGAAAATTTTCATATTTTAACCTAGAAAATTAATTGAAATTATCTTTCTAATGCCGCAAATTTCATGTAAAACGGAGTTGGGATGAATTTTATAAAAATTGTCAAACTTGCTGCCCCAACTAACCTTGGTAGTGCCAAGTCTGTATATGTAAAGTATAATTTCTTCTCGACATGCACTTCTACCGGCTATTGAATTTTATAAGAATTATTTTACCAAATTGAAAATAAGTTTCCAACATGTAATACTTCTATTTAATAGTATTTACATGTACCAAAGGTAGAAGCTATTATGTTTAGTACGTGACCCTCGAAACTTAAGTTCGGGGTGTCACAAATAATCCCCGTTTGAGTTTTTTTTTTTTTTTTTTTTTTTTGAGAAATGTGTTTCGTAATAGTAATTTTTCAGAGAACATATAATGAAAAATTAGAAAAAAATTAAATTTGCGAATAAAATTATTTTATGAGAGAATGTGTTATTAAAAATGAGTTTAAAAAAAATAATAAAAATAAAATTTGAGGCTGAAAAACCACACTCGAGTTTTCTAAAATGGGGTATAATTTGTGAAAACAAACTCCATATAGAATGGGGTAGAATTCATGTCCATCTGTCAAACGCATTCTGCAGAACTTTCAAGATTTTTGGCACGTTAAAGACTTCACAATTGAGTCAACATTTTGTCTTTCGGGGATAACAAAAATTAGGAAATTTTGCAATAGAGGTCCCAAATGATATAAAAATGTGCAGCCAAGTCACAGTCTTCTTATCTTAGTAGCTAAATCCAAAACCTTAATAAATGTGCGCCAGAAGCGCTTTTAACGATTTTCATCCAAAATTTTGTCAATTAATCAAAAGTCAAACATTTAGTTTTAATTGGACCAATGAATGAGGCAAGATGAGTTGCTGCATAACAATTTTATTCAATTTGGTGCAAGCCAACTCGTGATAGTAGACGAGCGGCCCTCTACTCGCACGACAAAATCGTTGCTCCACATCTATGCCCATGCTCACACCCACTATTCATGTTGAGCATGAGCTAAGCCAAGTTGTGGGCTTGCCCCACTTAACATTCCTATTAGGTTAATAAAAGTTGTAAAAAAGATTTGGAGGAGAGATTTTTTATTTGTCATTTGTGCCAATTAATTATATTTTAAATAATATGTATTATTTGTTTTATAATTATAAGAAAGTATAAATGTAAGTGATTGATTGGTACGATTTTGACACGAAATAATTTTTGATGTAATACTTTTCACACTTTCATAATACTTTATCGATTGTGCTACATCTAAATAATGGTTTACATTTATATGATGTGTTGACATGTGATTGGATTAGAATTTTTTTAATGAAATAAAAAAATAAAAGTTTCTCCATTATCTTTTTGACACATCATATGTATGTAAACCATTAAATAATTCAATTATGTACATGTAGCAATAAATATAGATATGACCCATTCCATAATATTGATGAGATAATAGAGAATAATATTTTTTTGTATTGGCAAAGGTTGTTGAATTATTATTGATATTTTACTATATAATTTAACATGTGATAAGCATTCTAATTTTCTCTCCGATATATAATTACAATTTAATCCACAGTGCATTGCACGTTATATTGTTTGCCTTATGAGATTTCAAGTTTGAATCTGAGAGGATGTGATGTAAGACTATGAGAGTAAAATGTGTACAGACTATCACGGGAAGGCTAATAAGACTGGATTATCCATTTAGCATCATACGAATAATGTTTTAAAAAAAAAAAGTTAGTAAATATGAAATATATAAATTTATTTATAAGTTAGTAGTATGTAAAGTTAATAATATTTACATACTACTAAATTTACTTACAGATGAAGAAGTTCATTTAAGAAAAATTACTTACAAATAAAAAAGACAGTTTTTTTAAAAAAATAATATTTTTATAGTAATCAAAATTTGAAAAATAGTTACTTATTTTGACAATAACATAAGAGTCATTAGATAAACAGCAAATTTTCTTAAACAGTAACTTTTCTTAATTTAAAGGTAGTAAAAAGAAAGTTATTTAAACATATTTATAAACACACTACAAGACAATTTCCTCTAAAATTTTATTTGTAGGGAAATGTTTTTATTACGAACCCTTTTGAGATGAATACAATACGTCATGTAAGTTTTCCCTGACAAAATAATTTATCTCCTAAAAAGTTAATTTTGCCCAAGAAATAATATCGCTTTTCCCTACAAATTATTTTGTGGGCTAGATCTTGCTTTTCCTACAAAAATTCTTGTGTGGAAAGAATATTTGCAGACTAAAATATATTTTTTCCTCAATAATTAAAATTTTGAAATAACATGGAACGGATTATCGTTTAGGCTAAACCCTATTTTTCTCTACACAATATTTTTTTTTGTAGAAAAAGCATGTTTGTAGGCTACTATGAAATAATTTGTATGGAGAAACTAATTTATTTTTATATATTTTATTTATTTTATATTATAGTAATTTTTTTAACCATATTCAAAATAATATAAAGATGGAAAAAATAAATTATTTAAGACATTTAATGCCAATCAATGCAATATCGAATCCAAAATATTTCATGAAAACACAAACAAAAACTAAGTATGGTTACATTCAAATTTAAAAACAATATAGAAAACATCTTTTATATCTACTATTATTATGCACCTAAAAAGCATAACTGTTCATCCTCCAGAATTAGATATGCAACTCATCATCACCGAAGTTGTTTTCTTCGTCCACAATAGCATCATTTCCCTATCTCTATTGACAAGGGTGTAAATGGTGGTACAACGAAACCAGCTTTACCACATAACTGGTGCAAAGAGTGATGCTTAGACTGCAAATTAGAATTAAAATTGTTGCTTAACAACCTTCAACTTATTTTGCATCCTTTGCTCCATCTTTACTCGAGCTACATCGGCTACCGTTCGAACAATACGCTTTGCTTCTAACTCTTTCTCCATACTGTATACATCGAAAAAAGATGTCCCAACTTACGAATTGACGTTCGAGCTTTGCTCCTAGAATAGACATTATTATATTAAGTCCAATCTCAGGATCATTTACAGGATTATCCTCTAAAGAGGTATCTTCTAAAAACTATTGCTCATTTGTCCTCTTTACAAGATATTCACATTCTTCGACAAGCACCTTATCCTACAAGCACAACCCACAAGAGAACCACCCATAAAATCAAAATCTGCAAAAGATATAACACAACCAATGAGATATAATCGACCCACGAAATTATTTTGACTATAGCAGTGTTTATTTCCATGTGGTAAATGATGCTTAAAGGGTTAAACCTGTTCCAATTCCCAACCATTATATCTTTCTTCTACTCCAAAATGGAAATGCTATCACGAAAGATGAACTTAATAATATCAAATAAGTGATGAGGATGATGAGGGAGAGAATTTCCATGATACGTTATAAAATGTACTTCTTAAAAAGGTATACGAAGATATGTCAAAGATCCCTAGTATTAAGAGTCTACTTTGACTTTTGTAACTTGGTCCAACCTTGCAATAAGCTAAAAGATACCTCAACTCTAACCGATACATTCCCCAAATGGTTAAAATGGATATAAAATGCCTCAGGTGAAATAGTACATATGTTGATCAAGCACAATTAATGGAGATTGATGGAATGTATTAAAAATTTGGCAAAGCCAAATAATTCAAATGCATAGTCTTTAATTTATATATGCCAATTCCCTTGAAATAAAGGTAGAATTGATTTTTAAGTGCCTAGGCAATTTGGAATAAAATTACATAAAAACTAGTCAAGTTTTCATTCTCTTTTTGATGTGGGATTCATCCCTTCAATACAACAAAGATACCATTAAAGATTTTCATGGACATTTCGAAGATTTATTTTAACTCACCGAAACACGTTTTTACTCATCTAACTTGGTGTCACAAGGACTAAACTTGCTTCATAGATTCTTTATCATCTTACTAACTGATAAGTACGTTTTGTGCACTTATTTATGTCATATTTTTAAGTATTTATATCGTCAAATTATTAATTTCTACTTAATTTGGGTTAATTTCCTTTTGTTTTAGTTATGGACCCGTTTTGAAGCATTTGGAAAAGAAAATGATCTATAGGCTATTAAATTTGTGGACTAAATCTTGTGTGATAAAAGTTGGAGAATCAAAATTGAAGAAACAATGGAGAAAAGGACTAGCATTAATTATGATGAAGTGGGGCCTTGGAAGATAAATTGCAATTAATTTGGGCCTCAACTTGGACTCTTGTTGAAAACAAAATCAATTGGCCAGCTTTAATTTTACTTGGGCTGAAATTACTTCCAATTGGAAAACTCAGGGCAATTAAAAAGGAGAAAACAAGCTGGCTGGTGGAATGAGAAAAGAGCTGTACCAAAAGAAAACAATTGGGCGAAGACAGATTGCAAAGGACCATAAAACGAGTTGGCTGCTGGAAAATTTCCACGCATAGGAAAGAGAGAAAAGTCGGCTGGAGTTAAATATATAGGGGGGTTTGGTATCGATTTTCCATCCAAAAAATCAATTTTTTTTACCGTTATTTCACCATTTAGGCTGTCATTTTTTATCATTTCTCTTATAGGTAGGACCCACTTTTCTCTCCAACGATCAAAAAATCAATTATCAAAATCCCTACCAAATAAGCCCATAGAGAGAAAAAAAAATCGACAGCTGTGAAGAGAATTGAAAGAGAAGAAGACAAGAAACGATGGCTCAATTGGAGGCTGAAGAGGCAGAAAATTGGTCTCTCAATTGAAGAATTCAATTGGCGGCTGGGAGGCAGGAATGAAAGCAAAGTCAGTAATTGGGAGTGCAAACATATTTTCGCGTGACTATAGCTGAAAATTGAGCAGGGATTAGTCACGTTCTATCGATATTTGGTGATATCTTTTATCTTTTCTTTGTTAAATCTCAACATTATACTAGACTAAACTATTTTGTGTTAGGATTTGCGATAAATCTTAAATTATGAACTTTTAACTTTTGAAATTTATTTATTTTAACGTTAAAACACGTTTTCAACTTTGAATAATTGATATTGATTTAATTTTCTCTATAATTACTTGATCACTAATTGTATGAATATTGTAACTTGTTTTACTCTTGAGAAATAGAAAATAAGTTAGACATTGGGTCAATTGTCGTAGAATCTAATAAGGGATAGAATATATTGCTACGCTTTACGAGACCTTTAAGTATTCATGATTTTTTAATGCATTTGTATATGTTCGCATCTGTCATAAAAATATAGTCGGATCACATGTAAAAATAGGTTTGATTTTACTCGAAAGGGATTGTTAAACAAATTAAGAATACCAGTCTTCATAATTGAATCGTATTGTCAAAATTATGAAGTTCGCGGTTAAAGAGGATTGATATAAGGGGATTCGAAATCCTAATACTGTGGTATCACATTTTATAAAATTTGCATTTAATTTAAGTTTTACATCTATTTTAGTTAAGGTAGGTTTTGCTTTCATAAGTAGATCATTTAATTTATCGAAAAAATCACAGATTTATATTGTTTGGGTTAAAGCGAAGATAATTTGAATTTAAACTAATACAATCTCTGTAGCGTCTTGAACTCAAAATCCACTTCATTACTTGTTAACGAACCGTATATTTGCAATGATTTTAATTCGAAAAATAATTTCTTGAACACTAACAAAGTAAACAGAAGCACGGCTAAAAATTGTCCCATAAAGTTCGCTAATCATAAATCAATTAATGGATTCAAATTATTCGAGAAAACAAATTAGAAAAAAGATATCATATTAAAGAGCTAAAGGTTATCAGATTAGCCGAATAAATAAAAATAAAACTAACCTGTATCGCATTGTCTCTCGAAAGAGCTCTATCTATTGGGCCAGCTTATTTGTGAGACATGGATAATCCAACCTATCGCCTATTTCTGCAAGTTTCTCCCTAGTAAATTCAAGATTCACTTAGAAATTTGGTTTCAGCATCTAGCGATTGAACAGAAATATTAACTAAGCATTAAAGAAACCCTATCAATTAATTGAAAAAAGATATATTTAATATAGGCTTTATAGATGGCGAGTAATACCTACCGAACCCACAACACATCAAATATGAACGCGAGAGAGAGAGAGAGAGAGAGAGAACCAAAGCCAGGAGAACAGATCTGAATCAATTCCAATTTTCCCCTAAGCGAACCATACTCATTAGTCAACAAATAATATTATTAAAAAAAAAAAAAACAAAATTCATACAAGGACATAACACTAACATAAAGAGAAAATTTATAAAATCCCCAAAAATTAGCAAATTGCACGAACAGAGCGGAAATTGAATGAAGAAGAAGGGTACTGAATCGTACCTTGACAATAATCCACATCCAAGAACACAAGATCGAAATTGAAAAACGCGAAGAGAAACCCACGAGATAGGATTCAAGAGAAAGCTGAGATTAGATAGGTTTCAATATTTGTTTTTAAAGTTTAAACAATCAACCACACTAGAAGTACAATTTAATGTACAATTTGGTTGACAAGGGGGACAATAGGGGGCATCCACTTGGCCCCCCCAAATTGTACAAATAGAATAATTCTTAAACAATTGAAGTGGTTTGACGGGTCAGTTCATTGATGATTCGATGTTTTAACCCATAACAGATCCTATTCACAAATAGGTCAAGTATTAAGTAAAATGAAAATTGGATAATTTTCCTACTAATTATTAGCTTACAAATAGGTGAATTTATTTTGTCGGCAAAAGATATTTCTTGGTCGTCAAATTTTTTGTTGGGAAAAAAATACAAATTTTAGTGGGCACAACAAGTCTTCTCACTATTGAAAATTTTTGAAGTAAATTATAGCCCTACTAAATGTCATTTTAGTAGGAAAAGTGAACTCCACCTAAAAATCTCAATTTGCCTTCCAATATTTTGTAGGGAAATCATATATTTCTTTTAGTGACAAAACCTATATTTACGAATACGTAAGTTCTTCATACATGTTTATGGACGAATAGCATATTTATGAATATGTAAATAACTATATTCACTTATAAGTAAATTTTTACTCCTCCCTACAGGTAGAAAACCTTAAAATTTCGTATGGATTTAATGATTGATACTCACATTTCAATTTAGTCACTCTTCTTTAATTTTATTCTAAAAATGTCACCTAACTTCATATGCTGTTTTAAGTAAGTCATTCCATTGTTTATCTTACTATTTTCTGTGAAAATTAATGGCAACAATCAGAATGACTAACTTAAGTTGTGAATTAAAACCTTTAAGGAAACCCAAAATAACAAGACCTGTAATTGATTTTCAAAATTCTTTATTTTAAATACTCATTTTCTACCACACATTTATACGATGAAATATTTTGCACGTAACTGAAAATTTTCCCTTATTTTTTAATAACATATTTCAAAAATTAACTATTTAGAATATTGTTTTTGGGGGCATTTTAAAAAATAACCAATTCCATGCTTGTCAGTTTTAAAGTGTCAAATTTTGATACCTTTTGCAAAAAGAGCCAAATTTGACAACAGAAAATCCATTTTACCCTTAATGAAAAATACAGCAAAGAAAAAACTCTTTTATTTTATTTTTTATTTTTTAAGTGCGGTAAGTATCTAGTGGCTATCAAGTTGCTTCAATGAGAAGCTACAATAATGTGATAGTTATTACCTAGCCCCTGTTTGATCTCCATTAAATTACATTCCATTACATTCTATTTTTCTCTCTCCTATTTTCAACCACACAATCTTCCATAAAATAATATTACATATGAATCGAAATTTTTTTCTTTTTTTTCAACCACTCATTTTTTCAACAAAACACTACTCTCCCCATTTTCATTACCAAAAATGGGGGTCAAACGGGGGCCTAATGGGTTTAACCTTGCATTATCTACTAGGCATTGACCAATTCTTTTAGAAAAAAGATGAAATAGAAAATTAATGCACCAACAAAGAACTATATGATCTAACAAATAAGAAAATAGCGTAATTTCATTTTGATATTTGATTTTATCCAAATTTGCTAGTTGATTGTGTTGTCCACAAATTTCGATAGAAGGTAATTTTATTTCTATTTTTTTGAAATCTTTTTGTGCCGATAAATTGTGCTTAATAGTCATCATTATACATGTGATTTAAAAGGATTAAATTATTTTACAAAATTAGTCAAGATTTGTTGTAAGATTATTAGAGTATTTAAAAAATATATATATGTTCACTGTGGTACGTTCCTCCAACATTATGACAAATTCTTCTTAAATGGCTTTGATAGATAAGAGGTAGTTGTGTATTGACCTTGTTATTAATGGTGAGAATGAATTCTTTGCAAAAATGGTGATGGAAGAAGATGATAAATGTATTTTATAATGCATGTGAGGATGATATTTTATTATTGTTAGAGTTTTAGTTAAACATAAATTTTTAAAGAACATAAAATGGTCCAAAACAATTTAATGAAAATAAATTAGTGGAAGAATTTAGAATGATATATTTTTATTTAATTTTATATAATTCTATTTTGGTAAATTTACATAAAATTAAACAATAATATAATCATCTTTCTGAAGATGGCTGTACATATAAAAACATGAATGTAAATAATGGTACACTTTACATCTTCGCTCATGTTTGAGCTTCGTTATCTAAAACTCAATTTTTTTCTCAAACTAATTTTTAATGACAAATTCATCAATAAAATAATTTACATATAAATTTAAAACTTTTCTTTATTTTTAACAAGAAAAAATCAATATTATAAAACACAATTTTCGAAAAATGGAGCTCTGGGCTAAATAAAAAATCTAATCATGCCGCTTCAAAACTAAAAAATAACCAAAATCCAAGCAACTCTTGAAGACCTCACAATCATTCTGAAACACCAAAAGTAAATCCCAGTACACAATAGATATTTTATAGTAATTGTCCAGTCTGTGCAGAACTTCAAACCCTAGTGATTAGTGCAGAGAAAAATAGGCGCCATTGTAGAAGGAGAATAAGCTCTCCTAAGGCTAGGATTTTGAATTGTAATTGAGTCTGTTCTGATGCTCGTTGTAGATATTTATTATGGTGTCCATGTATAGGTGGGGTTGAGGTGAAGTTTAAGATTTGTTTGAAAAATGAGTAAATGGCTCAATTTTGGCAAAATTTTCGGTAGGACTCATTAGTCCAATTTGAAAAATCAAAGTTGATCCTTATTCTCCTTCGTGAGAGCATCAAAATCATATATTTACTTGCCAAAATTGATGAATGGACGAATGAGGAATTGGAGCTAGAAATTAATCATTGGAAGATGGTTTAAGTGGGAAAAAATTGAGTTTGTCCCACATAGGAAAAATATGAAAGCAAGAACCACTTTAAATAGGGTTGCACATTGGAATGGTGTAATCATGTATAACGTAGAGGCTCTCTTCACGTGCGCACGCAGGAGGTGCAAATCACGGATTGAAATTACCTTCGAACCTTGAACTTTGTGCGTGCGCGACCTGCATACACAAATGTTATACCGAACAGAGGAAAGAGTGTCCACATTTTACAATTTTTTGCTTTCTCATTACCTTTGAGTTTCCGAAAACTGCCCAAACTCCCAGAAATTGAAGCAACTCTATTATTTATTGCTATGGAGTTAATAGACAGATTTAATCTTATATTACGTCTCATTTCTAGCAATTCTAACCACGATGATACACGCTAGGAAATTACTGTTTGCATACACACTGAAATATTTTGTAAATTAGTCTTGTCTACATACATAATCTGTTGCATTGCCAACGTCGTCTTGGTGATGATATTGTTCGAATACAAAATTAGTTCGTCGAAGTAGTGTCTGTGGTGCACAAATTCTACGAATTTTACCGTTTTATCCTGGAAAACAGACGCTCGGATTAGATCTCAAGCACTTATGATGAGGGGGCAAATCTGTTTTAAGGAAACTGTGTTCGCACAAGCCTCTGGTTGAAAATTCATCTGCTATTTATTTAATCTTGCAGAATTATTTATTTAGCGTTTATTTGTGTGATTCATATAATTTGTAGTTTTATTATGTTATCATTCTATTTATGTTTATTAAAATTATTCTGCGTTAATTTCTATTTATGTTAAAAATAAAAATTGGAAAAAATTACTGTAACTTCGGTATGTGTAAATGCAAAATTGGTATGTGAAAATATGGTATGTGGAAATACGGATGAAATAGGTAAAACAATATGTACAAATAATGTTAAAAGCATATACGGTAGACAGCATATACAGTAAGCTTCCTGTAAATACGATAAGCTGCATATACATTATGCTAAAAATCGGTATCTAAATTACATATACGATATGTGATAATCTGATTTCATTAACACCACTATATTCCACAAGAAGTACCTCACAGAGAAACACAGTGCGTGATAATCACTAAGGTGCATTGATGGGTGGTGACTAACTTGGTGGTAGGGTGGCAACTGGCATGGCGATCAGTGGCCACTAGCATGGAGGTGGGTGGCACAGCCTGAGAGTGCTTTGGATAAGAATCAAGAGAGAGACTTGAGTTTTGGGTTGGTCGGCGACAGGCATGGCGGTGGGTGATGACTAATGTAGTTTGGGTGTGGCGCGCGGCTGGTGTGAGAGAAGGAGAATGCTTTTGATTGTAGTTTTTTTCGAATATCAAGTATAGGTTAGGTATTAAATTTGTAGGTTACGTGTCAATATTCTATCTATCAACTAATTTTTAATTTATGGAAAAAAAATCTTTTTGATGGAATTTGAAATTGTTATAGGAGCACGTTGGTCAAAATTTTAGCAAAATGGACATTAAATAAATTTGGGATATTTTTTGCAAATGACCATGTGAAAAAAGTGGACATGTCTTGTAATTTCCATATATTTTTTCAAATAAAGGGATATCAAATGAGGACTAAGTCAAGAAAGGTAAATGTTCAGAAACACAAAGAATAGTTGTAGAGAAAATTTCAATCTTAAGTCATTCGTCAACACGAAAGCGTGGTGAATGCAATGAAAATGAAAAATATAAAATGTGTTCAAAAGACACTACTACACACATTAAACTCGATTGGACAAACCAGTAGCTTAGTTTGGAAATTTACTTGTTTCTGTGGATGCTGTATGCCAGAAGGTACATGGGAGTGATTATTGGGCTCAACTACGGCATCTAAATGATCAGTTCATTACCTTGGGTGCATAACATTTATTTGAATAAGATTGTGTCACTGTTAGAAAAGATGCGAGAGGCTACACAGAACAATTTTTATTCAGCTTTAAGCAATTGTGCTCTTCAAGAATTAAGCTTATGTAGAGAATAGATTGGTTTGTTTGTGATTAGACTTGGCAAAATTCTTTTCCTATAGGTAGTAGTTCAACATTAGGATTTTATGAAGTTAGGTAACAGGCCACTAATTCCAGATGAATGGGACTCAAGAACAAAAAAACTAGCAGTAAAATAGGCACCCC